TCCCACCAAAGAATATGATATGGCAAAAGGCCTGGCCTTCCTTGAAATTCACATCTGCCCTGTGACCCAATGGCACTCGTGGCAATGTGGTGGAGTGGATAACGTGTCAAGCTCCCATTCTGCACTTTCACGGTTCGTCTCCCGCTAGGGGTGTTGATAAGACCGATGTGATGTCGAAACTGCAGTCTAACCTGGATGAGAACAACATTTGGGAAAGCAAGGCTATGTGAAATTCAAAGGAAATTCAGCTCTACTCATATCATTGTGGGAGAATTCTACTATCAGTCCTTAATCACCTTAAACGAAATAGGGTGAATACATCTCATATTAACAATGGACGTGTTTGATTATAGACGTGGTCCATGAAGCACGTCTATTGTTAGTAAACTAGCTCTAGCCTCCACCGCGTCTATCCTGTTTCCACAGGAACTCACAAACGTTGGGGTTCAACATTGTGGGTTGACACACAAGATACTAGGGCATGGCAAGTCATAGTCTCGACATGCATACAACGGACTCCGGACTAGATGCGTTCCTCTTGACTCGTTAACTTGAACTTTTTGTGACCATGAAACCTCGCTCTGATGATGTCCGCAATATGATGGACGAAAGCTTAGCACCTTTTTACCGGAATCGAAGGAGATTAACTCGGAAACAGCGTCAGCATGCATCTTCCAGTAAAACCAATCGGCAGCTGGTGAAGAGGAATCCGCCGTCGCTTTCTGGTATAACCGACCTTCGAATCTCTTAACCTAACACTTTCACTCAAAATGGAAGTAATCTTAACAATTATGAAACAAGAGATTCATCGAAACCCAACTTTTCTTTGCCATCCTTTATGTCTTCCTACCAATATGACCAAATTGCGAAAACAAGGCCGAACTACTTCTATACAACGAAAGGAGACTGCGACCACACAAAAGGACACACCATCTTGGTCTTCATATCTTGGAAGTAAATTAGCTAACTGAAAGTAATTTAGTTAACGTTATTTATATTGAAGATTTTTGAAATTATTTAATTTCATCTTCCTATTTAGCCATACTGTTGCGAAATTGGGGCATAGCTTGAACCAAGGCTAAGCAATAAATTTAACCATATCATACTACAACACCCTATGCATGTCTGCTTACTCTGCCTTGTTTCAGATGGAAGCTACATTTGATAGCTGTGATAAGGCGACCAAGGTGAAAGGCCGGCAACATGGCCAGTCTACCCGGCCAACTTCCCTGGAATTGTGTAAAGAATTCTAGCGTCTCACGTCGACCACCCGTCAAATGACCTTTGGCACAAGTCTCAGCTTTCCCTGCTCCCCAAGCCTCTTCCTGGTTGTCATCTTCTCCTGTGCAAGCTGCTTCGTCGACCGGCTCGAGGAAGGGATGGTCTTTGGCCGTAATTGCCTCTTTACGGGAAACCTTGTCGTCGTCATCTTCTTTGGCTTCAAGAAGGGGCTCAGATTGGTTCTAAATTACAGGAAATAACTAGTTTCAAATATTCCTCTAGAAAACAAGTATAAGTTTACAAACTTTTTATACAAAATTCAATACTAGAAGTCCCAATTAGATTGCGTTTGAATACTGATGTACACCGAAAGTATGGATTACATGTACTACCTAATTACATGGTTGTGGATATTTTAAATATCCGGCCTTATCTGATACATCTCTATAATCTTTATGGTTAGAAATTTGGGAAGGATTTTACCTAGAATCAGAACTCTATATCAACTTACTTGACATACTTTAAGTTAAAAAAGCGAAGTCGAAACTGCAGTCCACGGTAGATAATAAATCTTTTTAAAAACAATTTAAATAGTACATTTAGTAGCTTTATGAGGCCTACTAATTTGAATGTGGTGAATTCAACTATCATTCAATACATTACCTTAAATGACTCAGGCATTCTCAAGTTCAACTACCAGTTTTTCATCACCTTAAACGAAAGATGGTGAATACAGCTCTTATAGTCAGGTTCTTCAGGAATTACTGAAAGCTTCGAATTATAATCTTATTGAAAATATTGTAATCTGGAATGGAACTTGATTGCAGGAATGTTCAACCCATAAGACCCGTTGTTTAATACCTTTTGTGCGCATCAGCTGCAGTTAGCACTAATTAGTTACTTTTGCAAATAGTATTTGTGAATTTGGCTCACCACTGCATAACTAACTCAAACCAGGTTATTAACAAAATGACAGCTAATTTGGCGTTTTTCACATAATTTTCTTATCCAAAGCAGTTAATTAAAGACCATCGAACCACAATAAAAAGTTTTGCAACTAGACTAAACTGCATTGAACACGAACCAGGGGAGCCGTGTAGCAGCATGATTAGCTAGAATAGCTTGACAAAATAGTATCATTGTAGTGGAGATTTTAATTTCGAATGAAGGTCCATGATGAAGATATTTATTGGTTGATTTCACCGGAAGACGACGACTGAGTTCAGTTGCTCCGCAGTCCTTTGCTTTAATACGACGTTCATGTTGACGCAGTCCATGATAAATCCTCCCTTATTTCGGGTGACGACGAGCTGAGCTCTCGATTATCATATGATGGACATCATAACTCATTCCGGCACAAGTCTCAGGTTAACACTGAGTCAAAAAGATTGTCCGGCTCTATTCTACATCTAAAAAACGGAAATATGTAAATATAGAATGATTTAGCTAGTTCTCTTTACCTTTACTCGAGTGCATGTGCTTATGTGTAAGCTTGAAATGTCAGTCCGGTTTCACTCGAAAGGAAGGAGGACGTCTGGGGGACTGCGTCAACATTAACTCGGTATTGAAGCCAAATTGCTGCAGAACACCCGGAATTGTCCAGCGTGTTTTGTTTAGATCAACCAACGAATCTTCATCCTACATTTTCATTTGAAATGAAAGTATCCTAACAATATTATCTTAAGAGTTTCATCGAAACCCAGTTACTCATTGTAGCTAAAAGTGTTTAATGCATGTACCTTAACCACGAGAAGGAGTTCCGAAATTTGCCAAAATGGACAGCAAGCAAGTCTGATTTTCTCACTAGTTAGATATACCCAATGGACAAAAGGAATGGCACATAATTTTATCCGGATACGTGATTTAGAGATGGTTTCCAAAAGATCCCTAAATATTCTCATATGATTGAACCTTGTTTTTTGTATGTAAAGTTGGGTATACAAAATTTGCCTGATAGGACACGGAAAAATTGATGAAATGATTGCTGATTCGAACAAAGAAGTCATCAGTTCACATTTATTAGTTCAAATATATCCTCTCTTTAGGGCATCAATAAAGCGAGAAATTAGGGCTTAGCAGAAGTGAATAAACAACACAGCATGAACGGTGTCCATCTTTGATAATTCCTAGGGTTAATAGCCTAAGCCTAATGTCCGAATAAGAAAAACGATTGTTTGGTTGACAACTTCATTCTACTCCTCGCATTAATTTTCTTTCATAAGCGACCTGCAGAGCTATCCATCAAGAGTTATGTGTACTCTGCTGTGCTGGGAGTTGCATGTTGGCGCTGCACCTTATTAATGTGAGTTATTTACATCCTAACCGAACTCTTACTCGGTCACTCATCCAAAACATCTTGTAAATACTATTTAATGTCTGCATGTGGTCGTGCCATTCAATAAGCCATTGTTTTTTAATAATTTATCTCGAGTTCCTAGCCTTTTAAAATAAGCTATCTAAATACGAGCCACCATTGGCAAAGGCGTGTAGGTTCGAAAACTGTAACTAGCTAAAATATTTGCTAATACAGGATACCAGAACACAATCCTGAATAAAATAAAGAAACTAAAGACTATAGATTCTTTGCGCAAGCAAGTAAGGAAAATAGGAATGTTATCTGTATTGAGGAAGATTTCGAGACTATCAATAGACTCTGAATAGGAAAAATTGGAAAACCAATTAATAGGATGCCACATTTAGACCACAAGTCAAAGGAAGTATAAAATATTGCAGTCAGCCACCATGATCAACCTGAATTTTGTTGATTGACAAATATAATCGTATAATTGTGAAATGATTTAAACTAAACCTAATTGCTAATCGTTTTGAAGTAAATTATTACATAGCCTTTCCTATACTTAATTCAATTGATCGACCCATGAAATTCGCAAATTTCTACTATCCATTGATTAAATGACCCATACTTTAACATCCCAGGTATGATAAGAGATGAAATTCATTTAAAATCTGGCAAAATAGACAAGAGAATCTGAAAATATTATTTACATGCAGGCTGGACCGCAGTTTTGACCTCGCCTAATTCGCATCGGCAACTTCAGCGGAAATCGAACCCCAGGAGTATAGTGTATAATTCTAACTTGGTAATACCATGCTTTACTTACACGATTGCCCTTTGTTCACAGCGCAGGCGTGGTATTCAGAGTAAGCCATTAAAATCGATTACATTATTTATATTCATAAAAGCAAATTTCAAGCCTATCAGAAAATAGTGAATGAAAGTATTGTTAGGTGGAGTAGGCGAGAGTAATGGCAACGTACATCATCTTTAACGAAATAGGGTGAATACATCTCATATTTACAAAAAATAAGTAGTGGTCGATTGTTATAGCAAAAATACGTTTGCTTCATCAACGATCCTACCAAAGAATGTGACATGAAGAAAGGCCTGGCTTTCCTTGAAATTCACATTGGCCCTGTGACCAAAAGGTAGTTGTGGCAATGTGGCAGAGTGGTTAACGTGTCAAGCTCACATTCTGCACTTTCAGGACTCGACTCCTGCTGGGGATGTTGATACATGTCGGAAGTTGTGATGGAACGAGGACGAGACAGGGGAATAGGAAATGGATAGAAGGACCGGGACAGAGCGAGGAATGATAGCGAAAGCGTCTTGAAAGAAATTTGGTCAAGGGATTGGCCTCACTTGTCTTTTTGACAAGTTGTAGCTTGTTTGCTGAGAAATGGCAAGACTCGCTGACGATGCCGGAGAAATGTCTGGGAATGTACCAAGTCCACGGTATGACTCTGGAAATGATGATGCATGCTATGGACTCCCGACAAGGTGCTTTTATCTAGGTCTTCCTGCTAATATGACCAAGTTGCGAAGCCAAGGTAAAATAACTTCAATACAATGAAAGGAGACCGCGACCATATAAAAGGTCATACCATCCTGGTCTTCATAAATGTTGTTCGTTAATAAGTAGGTTTCGAGATTTCCAGTGGATCATATATATGAGAGGTACTCACCTAATTTCGGTTAGATGATATATGACATGTAAATAAATTTTTCAACAATGATATAAATAGAAATAACCTATCTACTGAATTTCACAAAACAATTCTTTTATCACTTTAAGGAAATAGGATAAATATATCTCCTAAATATGATCTACTGTTTATCGCCGAAACATTCAAATAAACTGAAACTAAGTAATGTAGTCGATTGCTATAGCAAATTCAACTTTAGTCCATCGAAAATGTGACCACAAAATGTGATATGGAAAAATACCTGACCTTCCTTGGAATTCATATATGCTCTTTGACCCAAATGCACTCGGGGCAATGTGGCGTTGTGGTTAAATTGTCGATATTATACGCTGCACTATCGCATTTAGAGTCCATCTCGGGGTTCTGATGAGACCAAAGCGAAGTAGAAACAGCAGTTCACTTCAGCTTGGATGAGAATACCTTTGGAAAGCAAGACTGTGTGAAATTCAATGGAGGCGTAAGGTCTATTTGTGGCGTTTTTTTAAAGAAAACTACTAGACCTTCATCACATAAACGAAATAGGGTGAGCACATCTCATATTGATGATCTACTGGTAGTCTTTAAAACCTAGTTATAATCGAAAAATGGATATAGTATGTCTTACAACCTGATCTCTCATATACTTTATCATCGCATTCGTACCACTTCAAGCCCCCTATCTAGATTACTTATATCCTTACATATCTATTCATTTGCATTTTTAACCTGGAAGTAGCATGTCACTTTTCCTTTTTTGTCTATTGTCTATACTCATATTCGTCATGCTGCCTTGACGATAGACAAAAAAGTATCCGAAACTGGTGGCTGTTGGTCGGAAGTCAAATCGTCACGTCGTGTGCTAGCGTCGGGGCCGCAGGACGGAGAAGTTGGTTCTTCTCATAATCCATCGGTCGCAACCTTAGGGCAATCGTCCTTCCGTTTCCTTGTGGCCAATTTCCTAATCCCTTACACCTGCCTTTTATGAACGGAATGAACAATATGCAAATATCAGTCTATTATGAAAAACCTTTACTACTGGATGCCTTTTACACTGCAGATCCATGCTTACGAAGCAACACTCACCACAGAATGTAAATAACATTTTTTTTGAATTAGGCAATTTCAGAATTCTTCTACCCTAACTTTTACTACGAAATGAAGGAACCAATAAAGTGAAATTATATATGGATGACTTTATCATCCTAAAATTTGGCCGGAGGCTTTTTATAAAGCTTTCTCTAATGTTTAACTACCCTTAATCATTTCAGATTAACATACCCCCAACCGTGTTGTCTTCTTCCTTGTGCAAACTTTATTTTCGATCAGGTAAGTCTGAAAATTCAGGTATTTAAAAATTTACTCGTGAATCTTCTTGTTACTCTGTTATGATGAAGAGTTTGTTCTATGAAATATAGTCTTTCTTAAATAGGCTCGAAAACGAAGTATTTTTTACAATTTAAAGATTTTTATCGTCAGCATAGACATTTGAATATTGGTTTAGCTTGTACTCATGGTTATTACCTGAGCTCGAAACTCTTTTTCCCATAATCTTAACATAGATCTAGTCAAAGTACAATGCCTAGAGCTAATACAACAAATAAATTCAACAATAATTACACTGTCATTACCAGTTGCCTTTAATCTGAGCGAAGCTGACTTACCTTCTGCTCGGTCAACTGCGAATCTCGTGTCTTCTTGAGGGTAGAAGACTTACGACCAAAGTTGCTCAGAGCCAACTGACGAAATCAATGAAATAAATACAAGCTAAAGTAGTCGAAAAGGAGGATACTTTATCGAGCTGGTAAGAAGAAAAAAATAGCAATTCTATTAGACTTTCACACGTCTAGCTCCCTCTAATTTATCGGATTCCACGAAAGAGTAGGATATTAT